CTAAATCTAATATCCCATATTATCTGGCCACTATTTTTGAGTGATGTTTGTGCGGGTTAAATTAGAATGAAGTTAGTCACACAACCCACAAGATGACATTTATATTCCCTTTTACTTGACTGCAAGCGGAATATTCAAATCAAACGTGATTTTGCCCATTGGGAATGGACTGAATCATGAAAAGTGGGCGTTTCAGACCTGAATGCGTGTTTGCAGTCGATGTGGATGACTAAACTCCCCTCGGCCGAGGTGACGTCAGTCAAATAAATAAGTAAATAAGTGAGTAGCAAAAAACTACGGAAGAGGATTAGGGCCAAGATAATACAAAATGAAACCATCTCGAGATTAAAGTCGTTCAATTTCGAGAAAAACTCGTTAAATTTCAAGAAATAAATCGAGATAAAATGTTGAGATTAAACTCATTAAATTTCGAGAATAAACTCATGCTTCGAAAAAAGAAAACAAGTTAAAATTTCGAGGAAAAAAAAAGTCGAAATAAAATGTTGAGAATAAACTCATTAAATTACGAGAAAAAAAGTAGTTAAATTGCGAGAAAAAAGTCGAGAATTAACACTCGTGTTATGTTCATTTCATCTCGTTGGACAGTGTTATTTAGCGTCTGCAGTGGGGTGGGTTCGTACGGAGAGTAATGCACCAAGCGGCAACCTCCCGCTCTCTCTCGTGAAGCCAACAAGGACGTCACGGACACTACGTCCATGTTTTTATACAGTCTATGGTCGCTACTGAGTGCATTACTCTCCGTACGAACCCACCCCACTGCAGACGCTAAATAACACTGTCCAACGAGATTAAATGAACATGACACGAGTGTGTTAATTCTTTACTTTTTTCTCAAAATTTTATGAGGTTTTTCTCGCAATTTAACGACTTTTTTCTCGTTATTTAATGAGTTTATTCTCAACATTTTATCTCGACTTTTTTTCTCGCAATTTAACAACTTTCTTCTCGTTATTTAATGAGTTTATTCTCAACATTTTATCTCGACTTTTTTTCTCGCAATTTAACGACTTTCTTCTCGTTATTTAATGAGTTTATTCTCAACATTTTATCTCGACTTTTTTTCTCGCAATTTAACAACTTTTTTCTCGTTATTTAATGAGTTTATTCTCAACATTTTATGAAATTTAACGACTTTAATCTCGAGATGGTTTTATTTTTTTTATTATTGCTTGGCCCTAATCCTCTTCCGTATAAAATAATAAATATTATATTATATTATATTATATTGTATATGCAATTAATATTTTAGGACGGGTCGTATAATTAGAAAATAATGCACATCAGAGGTGGTGAAGCAGCCACAAATCGAAGCGTCGGGTGTGTGCATTATAATTCAACGGACCAGAGTCAATTATTCCACATATACTATGCTTACCACACCTCAAGACATTGTTCAGATGTTGTATTTCAAGACATTTGTAATTTTTTCCCCTTAAAACGCTTTTGTGTGTAGGACTAATTTCTTACACATCTTATCCATTACCTCCATTGTTAATTCCAAAAGTAATTAACATTACTAGTAATGGAGGCTTGAGCCCATAGACGTAGCTTGACGTTTGAGCTTGGGGGTGCGGGGGCTGAGGGGTAAACCAGTCGATTTGGTCAGTCAAACTTTTAAATACATTTTAGCATTTCTGTAGTAAACGTACAAATTTATGCAAGCGCTGAGGTTGTCATGGCAACCATATACATTGCAGGTAAATTACTTGTAAAGGCTGCACCAAAGCCACTAGGCCCTGTCCCAAATCGAACACCTTATGTGCACTTGCGGTCTTACGGACTTAAAATGGCCACCACATGCGCATGTCCGTAAAGTCCACGAGACCGTAAGGTGTCCCATTCGTCACTTTAGCATTCAGAAGGGTGCTTGCGAGCGCCCCCTTTGTGGCCACTATGCGCCCTCGATCCGCACTTCTGCCGAGCCTACACTGGGGGGAGTTCCGCAGCAGACTTCTACTTGACAGTCAAAGCACCATTACGTCACAAAAGTGCGGACTCAGAGGAAAACCGTGAGGGTTTAGAGTGCTATTTGGGACAGGGCCTAGAAGGCAAGCCTGCAACCTTTAGCCCAAAAAGTGTAACGGCTAATGCTAATGCTAATGCTAATGCTTCCGCTTTGGCAATGGAACCTGAATCCCAGAATTTGTGCCGTAAGCTGAATCCCACCTGTTACAAAAAGTCAGTGACTTCTCTTTTAAAACAGCATTTTTTTCAGTGTAAAACATGTTGAAGATTACCGATAGGCTGTCGATTCATTAAATGATTAGCTATTTTCTCTAAAAAGCTGTTTATTCAGCATAGTGAAGCCTCTCCTCCATTGACATCCATTAAAAAAAAAAAAAACAGCCTCTGGTCTCCTTTCTGTTAGCATTAGGCGTTACACTTTTTTGGCTAAAGGTTGCATGCTTGCCTTCTAGTGGCTTTGATTTATTCCTATGGTATCCGTAAACGGCGACAGTGTCGTACAACTCACTGAAATTCAATGACATCAAGGCTGTAATGTGATTGGTTATTAAGGCACATGTGATCCAAGTTAGCCATCACACTTTCTCCAATAGTAAGTAATACAGACCCTCTCATCTCCCTATAGTAAGATAATCTCGCGCTAGCAATAAACACGTCAAATAGAATGCACTATAAACATGTTTGTCAACAGAATCGCAAAGTAGACTTTAAGCAAATCAACGAGTGAATTACACTGCTTTTAAACAGATATCTGTTGGACATGATTCAAGTTAAATGCACAGAAGCAGGCACACAAACACATTTAGTAATGTTAAATCTTACCGAAAATGGCCAATTAAGCAGTTTATATTCTGAAATCTATTTCTAGGTTCTGTTCTGTGTGCATTAAATTACATTTGGATGTAAATGGTCCTTTTCCTGACATAAATGTAAAACACTGAACTGCTACAAAGGAGCATCCTGCGGATCACCTTTATGAAATTGTCCGGGTTTGGAGACGTCAAGCATCGGCATTTTCATCTGACTTTATTTTGGTTATGTCCAGATTCCTCTGCAGTTGTTGTATGTTGTAAAAAACACTAAATATCCATGTACGCCATGCAACAGGGAAGTAGTATATTACATAGGCTATTATCCGCCAAAATGCAGATTCGTCATGCGACAGCTTCTTACACAAATGAGATTGGGGAAGCCATTAAGTTCAATTTTATCTATTAATTTATTTACAAAATAACAATTTAAAATATATTAAAATAACTACATTATGTGCATATTTACTTTTGAGTTGAAAACATTATTAATTAACAAATATTTAGTAAAAACTTTCAGTTGTTAAGTTCCGCCCATGCTTGAGCCATTGATAAATGCAGACTAATGCAGTTATTTTTAGAGAGTGATAGAGAGAGACATTAAGGAGTCTGTGCATCTTTCAACAGTGTTCGGCAGCAGGGTCTAAGAGCGAAGTAATAGCAAACCCGTAAGTTCATCTGCTTCAAGAACAGTGCCGTTATTACTTTGTTAGTGAGAAATGGCATGCAGTTTTGAAGTTGCTAAACTATTTTACAGATAAAATCATCAAAGCAGCACTGACAACACGTTTGTGTGCTGTACTGTGTGTTTGAGTGGGAAAGAGCGGGACATAGAGTAGGTGCTTTTCATTTTTATCCTATTGTTTAATATATTTATTTGCTGTTTAATATATTTATCGGTGTCATTGTGGGTTTTGTCTCTTTTGCTGTTGTAGGCTGTAAGGACCTTTGAAAGACTTGCCTGGAACTACGTTAGCTGTGCATTTCCCTGAAAATAACTGCACATAACGTTCATCAGTAGAACAGTCCCAATAGAACAGCTCCATATATATAGCCTATATTGTTTGGTGTCGGTAAGATTTTTAAAAATGTTTTTGGAAGAACTTATTTATGCTCACCAAGGGTGCAATTTTAACAAACTTCTTTTGTATTTGAATATATTTTAAAATGTAATTTATTGATGGAAAAGCTGGATTTTCAGCAGCCATTAAAATAATACTTTTTTTTCTGGATTTTTTTTTGGATGAATAGAAAGTTCAAAAGAATGCCAATGCATTTAAAATATTTTTTAAAAACAACTTTAAAAGTCTTTGTAAAACGTCAATGTCATTTTTTTGTTGCTGAGAACTAGCCTACATATAAAATAACATTATAGCCAAATATGTTTATAGTTATATCTGAAAAGAATGTAAAATTGTGTTGAATTGGAAGATTTGAATCATGTTGACGTGTGTGTATATATACAAACTTTTGCTGTCATACTAATTGAATATGGTTATGGTCATATACATTACTTATATATTACTATATACATGTAATGAGAATTTTGTTAAATTGAACAATATATATAGACTGCCCACTGACTACCACTTAAGCATCTGTGCTAACCATGAGGCCACAGTTTCAACAGAAGGGTTCAGTCAGTACTGGTGTTACTTTAATTCCATCTTAAAGAAAAATCACCTGCAAATCAACTAAATTTTATGAGACTGAGTGACCCATCCCCTTCAGATCATGTATACCTTCCCTCCATCTCCCTATGTCCTTCTTTCCCTATCTTTTCCTCTGTATCTATGCTCCCTCTATTTCCATGCACCTCCATGTCTCTTTTTGTCCACCCTGATCCTTCAGAGGAAGCGCGGAATAGAGGGAGATAAGGGAGAGGTCAGTAACTCAGCTGCATGAGCTCATTTGAGACGAGAGGGTCAGCATGACGGCCCGGCGCTGCCGTCTGTCTCGACCAGTCGGACACACGGATGATAACTATCCCAGCTGCTGTTTCACAGTCTGGAATGATGGACTGTCTCCATCATGAACCAGATGCCGCTTAGTTATCAAACATGTGGCGATAATATGGAAATACATTTTACATCTATTCGTCCATCCATCCATTCCACCCAACCATCTATCTATCTAGACATCGAAGGGCCTGGAACAGCATTCCTAGTTACATTAGCATTCAGCTCACACAACCAGTTAAAACCAGTTGTTTTATTTAATACAATATAACACCGTTATTTACCAGACAAAAAAGATGAGCCATTATCTATAAAAATATTAAACAATAACTTTGGTCATTCTCCCCTTAAGGAAACAAAGTTGATATAAAAAAAATAAACTATATAAGGCAGTAGAAAAAATCTTTGAGTCCTCTGGAGACCACGTTCCTCTGTAAACAATGTGAAAACTGAAGAGTGATGGCTTGAGCTGGGTCATAAGAAGTGTTTGATTTCCGTACAACGTCCGTCTCCAGCTGCGTCCACACCTGGATCTGCTCACATGCGCAAGTCTTTCTGTGTTTTTAGTTTGTTTTGCAGGTTTTTGAATACACTAGGATGTTTTTCAGGTGTGCAGTGTGGCAGTGTTGTTTTTATCTGACAGAGGGGGAGGCCAGTAGGTGAGGGGGCTTGCAGGGGATCGGTGGTTTGACACATGGAGCATTACTGGTGTTGAAGTTCTTCCTGAGCTGAGCCACACGACTGCCGTATGTCAGACTGCTATCCTTATCTTTCATCACTCCTTTAGAGAGAAAGAGAAGAAGAAAGATTGTTAGATTAGACATGGAAACAAAACCTAGTGAGTTGTTTTGCTGTCTATGGGCAGCATACAATGTTATGTATATATATATATACACTATATATATATATATATATTTACTTTTATATATATAAGGCCTTTTCCCTTTTCTATATATATATACACATACATATACATATATACATACATATACATATATATATATATATATATATATAAAACTTATGGCAAACTTATATATATAACTTACATAAAACTTATATAAACTTTATATATATAATATTTTATATATCTGTTAGATTTAACTATTTTGTATAAATATGCACTATTTACATATAGAAATGATATTG